ATTTGAACCAGCAATTTCATTACTAGGAATATATCCTAAAGAAGTGAGAGACAGGACACAAATAAACATATGCACACCCATGTTCATTGCAGCACAATTTACTATAGCAAAGAGATGGAAACAACCTAAATGCCCATCAACAGATGAATGGATAACCAAATTATGGTACATTCACACAATGGAATACTATGCTACATTAAAGAACAATGAAAAATAACATGAATCATCTCACAATATGGATGAATCTGGAGGACATTATGCTAAGTGAAATAAGTCAGTTGCAGAAGGACAAATATTGTATGAGCCCATTACTATAAAAGATCAAGGAAGGGTTTGCTTAGGGAAGGGAACTTACTTTGTAGGTTATTGGTGATGGAAGGGAAGGGGAGGAGGAAATTTTGGACTAGTTGGGGCCACACATTGAGTTGGTTAAGAGGAGGGATGGTATGGAAAGTATCTGTGACCAGCATGATAACATTGGGGAAAGGGAGCACACTGAATTGTGCACATAAGATACAGACGACAGAGGCTAATACCAGTATATCCACAATACTGCATTACTAACACCGAACACCAGCCTACAGATAAATGCATAGACAACTGAGAAGAACAGATGGGGGTCAGTGAACAGGAATATACTCTAGACCAATGATAGATCCAGCTGAGGAATAATCTTGCACAGATACTAGTGTTACAAAATAACCACAATCATTACAGAAGCAACAGAAGACAGACTTGGAGTAATCCCTCAGAGACAGCCAGACACCTTGAGAGAGAGAACCACTGGATCTGCTGACTCAGGACCATAGTACTGGGGGACACAAGACTCAATTGGCACAACATAATATATAAAAATCTTATTCCACAACCTACTTTGGTGAGTAGCAACTGAGGTTTTAAAAGCTTTCTAGTGGCCATCTAAGATGCAGCTAATACTCTCTTTTCATCTAAAGCAAAGAAGAATGAAGAAAACCAATGGCATTTGGAAACAATCAGCCCTAGGATATAATGAACCTTGAGACCAGAAGGACTAGATGATGCCCGGCTACCAATACCAATCATGCGGGAAGGGATCAAAACTGGAGATCCTGGATAGAATGGGAGGAAAAATGTGGAACAAAATTCAAAAACACAATAACAACCAGAATTACTGGTCAGATGGAGTCTGGTGGGACCCCCAAGACTATGGCCCTGGGATACACTTGGGCCTGGGATAAAACTCACTCCCAAAAGCAGCTCTCAGCCCAACAGTAATAAGATTTAACATTCAGAACACCCAACTCAGGGTGATGCACCCACTATTCAGAGATATATCCCTTGGAGCAATTGGCCATGGGGCACCAGAGGGGCAGCATTCACGTGGAGGAAAACTTGGACAGACAGGAGTGCATAACTAAGAAGGGCACAGGGATATGAGTATCACTGGGAAGGGAGAAGAGAAAAGTGGTTTAGGTTTGGGGATGGTAATTGGGGAGTAAAACCAAATATACATGAACTGTTGAATGTAAAACAAATTCTGCTGTGTTAATTAGCACCCAAAGCACGTGCATACACACACGCACACACACACACACACAAAGGACATCATACATGAAGAATACAAAAGATTTAAAAGACAGGAAAGAAAGAAAAGACCAAAATGGGTGTCAGAACAGACTCTGAAACTTACTCTTGAATGGGGAGTAGCTAAAGCAAATAGAAGAAATGATAAAGTAGTAAGCTGAATGGAAGATTTCAAAGTGTAGCTTGAGAAGACAAAGTAAAGTATTAAAAGAAATTAGTATTTTCTAACTCCAAAAACATGGAGTTAGAAAATCAAAAGGGAAGAAAATGCTCAGCATTTCTCAAGCTAAAAGAACAGAAGAAAAAAAAAAAAAATGAAGCCACGAGATGCAATAATGAAGAGTTCTATGGGCAAAATATTGAACAATGCAAGAAGCATTAAATAAAAGAAGAAGAAGGAATATACAGAGTCACTGTACCAGAAAGTATTAGTCAACATTCAACCATTTCAGGAGGTAGCATATGATCAAGAACCGATGGCATCGAAGAAAGAATTCCAAGCTGCACTGAAAGAGTGGGCAAAAAACAAAAACAGAAACAAGGCTCCAAGAATTGACAGAATATCCCTTGAGATGGTTCAACAAAATAGAGGTGCTCACTTGTTATGCCAATAAATTTGGAAGACAGCTACCTGGCCAACCAACTGGAAAAGATCCATATTTTGGCCATTCCAAAGAAAAGTGATCCAACAGAATGTGGAAATTATCAAACAATATCATTAATATCACACCCAAGTAAAATTTTACTGAAGATAATTTAAAAATAGTTGTAGCAGTATATTAATGGGTACTGCCAGAAATGTAAGCCAGATTCAGAAGAGGTTGTGGAACAATGGATATTGTTGGTGATGTCAGTGGACCTTGGCTGAAAGCAAAGAATACCAGACAGATGCTTACCTGTGTGTATATGCAAAAGCATCTGACTGTGTGGATCATAACAGATTATGGGTAACATTCTGAAGAATAGGAATTCCAGAAAACTTAATTGTGCTTGTGAGGAACCTGTACATAGTCATTCAAATAGAACAAAGGAATATGGTGTGGTTTAAAATCAGGAAAGGTGTGTGTAAGGATTGTATCCTTTTACCATACTTAATCTGTATGCTGAGCAGGTAATCCAGGAAGCTGGACTATATGAAGAAGAACACAACATCAGTATTGGAGGAAGACTCATGAACAACCTACAATATACAGATGATACAACTTTGCTTGCTGAAAGTGAAGAAGACTTGAAGCACTTACTGATGAAGATCACAGACTACATCCCACAGTATGGATTACTCCTCAGTGTAAAGAAAACAAAAATCCTCACAACTAGAGGATTTACCAAATCATGATAAATGGAGAAAAGATTGAAGTTGTCAAGAATTTCATTTTAACTTGGACACACAGTCAACACTGTGGAAACAGCAGTCAAGAAATCAGATGACATATTGCACTGGGGAAATCTGCCTCAAAATACCTTTTTAATGTGTTAAGAAGCGAAGATGTCACTTTGAAGACTAAAGTGCACCTGACCCAAACTATGGCATTCTCAGTAGCTTCATACGTATATGAGAGCTGGACAGTGAGTGAATAAGGAAGACCACAGAATAATTGCTGCATTTGAATTGTGGTGTTAGTGAAGAATATTGAATATACTGCAGAGTGTTAGAATGAACAGCTAGAATAGTCCTTAGAAGCGAGAATGGCCAGATTTTGTCTCCATAATTTTGTAATGTTTTCAGAAGCCATTAGAGAGATGTAAATCTGAGCATAGTGCCTAAGGCACTTGACTGCTAACCAGAAGGCTGGTGGTTCAAACCCACCAGCCACTTCTCGGAAGGAAGGTTGGGCAATCCTACTTCCGTAGTGATACTGCCTCGGAAACCCAAGGAGGGGTCGCTATGAGTCAGGGCCGACTTGATGGCAAATAACAACAACAACAAATCTGAGGTATAAATCTCTGGAGAAGGATATCCTGCTTGTGCGGATGGCCCAGGACAAAGCAGTGTTTCCTTTTGTTGTACACTGGGTGGCTGTGAGTCAGAACCAACACAACAGCATCGAAAAACAATAGACCCTTTGAGATAGGTAATATTAGTATCCCCTTTTAATACACAGAAACCTGAGACTTAAGAGAAATTAAGTGACTTTCTTGTCCAGAGTCAAACAGCTGGTAAGGAAGGGCCAACACTTGAACTTGGTCTGTCTGATGTGAAAGCCCTTTTCTACGGCCCTTTCATGGCATGAATATTTGATTGATCTTGCCTATTTTAATCTAATTCATTCTTGCCAGTAAATATAAAATTTTAAACAATAGCTTTAAATTAATTCAATTTTTTTTTTTCTGGCTTGGAAGACTTTTATATCTTTTATTCTGTATGGTTTTGGAGGGCAGAAGTAAGATCCCTCCGTGGGAGTCCTAAACTAAAACTCACTACCGTTGAGTTGGATCTGACTCATACGACTTCTCCTTGGGTTTCCCAGGCAGTATCACTATGAAAAGAGATTGCCCAATCTTCCTTCTGAGAAGTGGCTAGTGGGTTTGAACCAACAGCCTTCTGGTTAGCAGTCAAATGCCTTAGGCAGTATGCCACCAGAGCTCCCATGGGAGTCTTAGGGAGATAATTTTTAGATTCAGGTTAGGAAGAATTTTCTAAAATTGAGAACCATGAAAGGACATCCAAGTGATATAATGAAATTTGAATTAGTACTATTTCTAATAACAAGTAACAATAGGGGTAATATAGGGATTCCTGTATTCAGTGGAGAAGCCCTGGTGGCACATGTTAAAGTTCTCAGTTACTAACCAAAAGGTCAGTAGTTTTTGAACTACTAGTCACTCTATGGGAGATAGATATGGCAGTCTGCTTCCATAAAGATTTACAGCCTTAGAAACCTTATAGGACAGTCTACTCTGTCCTATAGGGTCACTGAGTTGGAATCAAGTCAACAGCAATGGTTTGTGTTTTTGTTTTTAATACTATGTGGGTGATTATATCTCGGAAGGAAGGTGGGGCAGTCTACTTCTATAGTGATACAGCCTCGAAAACCCAAGGAGGGGTCACTATGAGTTGGATCCGATTCGACGGCAGTGAGTGAATGAGTGAATGGGTGATTATATAGTCTTGACTCCCAAAGTTCCTTTCAATTCTAAAATTTTTTGATTCTACATATTTGATATAAAGATATTTGGAAAACATGAAAACACTTGTTTGAATGTTCTGAAAATTTTTATTTGTGAAAAGCTTTGAAAAACTCAAGTTAATACTGATCTTATACATTTATAGAAGATTGTGGAAAACTGGTACTTAGAGATAGGGACAGAGTTTTTTCTTCATGTTCAGAACTAAGAGGTAATGTATGACAGGAAATGTTTCTTTATTGATAATATTATAGGAATATACCCCACTCGATCCCATTTCCTATTGACCATCTTTGTTGTTTTAATTTCAGCTAAAAGAGAATCTAAGGGACACAGAACGGAAGTATCAGGAAACTCTTAGAAGATTAGAAAGCAGGTTTTTGGAAGAAAAGGTAAATGCTATTAGGCTTACTTATGAAATCTTTCATTTAATAGAATAATATAAGTGTGTGTATGTTTTGAGAAATGTCAGTCTTCCATTTGTTATCTTATTAGAAAATTAAAGATTTTTTATCAAACCATAGCAGAATAAAAAACAGGTAAAACAAAACCTTCTACTCTAGAGTTCTTAATTTCTCCCTCCCTTTCAGAAATTATTGAAATCCTCTATAGGGATTGTCATTTTACAAAGTGTCCATATTCATAAGGGATATTGGTTTGTAGTTTTCTTATAATGTCCTTGTCTAGCTTTGGTATGAGGCTAATGCTGGCCTCATAGATTGTGTCCAATGAAACATGTATGCCTCACAAGAAATGTTCCTTCCTCTTCTGTAGTTTGGAAAATTTAAGGAGGATTGGTATTAATTCTTTAAATGTTTGATAGACTTCCCCAGTGAATCCATCTGGTCCTGGATATTTCTTTGTTGGGAGATTTTTGATTATTGATTGTAGTGGATCTATTGAGATTTTTCTATTTCTTTTTGAATTGTGATAATTTATGTATTTCTAGGAATTTGTCTATTTCACCTAGAATATCTAACTTATTGGTGTACAGTTGTTCTTAGTATTCTCCTATGCAGTGCATTGACCTACTTAATATGGCCCTTCTAGCCATAGTCCTCCATTCTGTGATGTACTATAAATCCTAGCCTCTGTGCCTGTGGTTATGGGTCCATTTTGGAATGAATTGTTATGTCAATGAGGCAAGATTAGGGTGGGATGTATCTTGAGTCTTGCTGTATTAAAGGGTGTGACTCAAGTCACCACCAGTAGTTTCCCTGAGGGTCTATGTATGTATCCACCAGTCAGTTTGTCTTACTGTGGTGACCTCCATGTTGTTGTTGGTATTTCAGATACCAGCAGGGTCACTCATGGTAGACAGGTTTCAGTGGAGCTTCCAGACTAAGACAGACTGGGAAGAAGTCAATCTGATTTCTGTGTACTCCATTGGCAATGTCCACGTGTATATTTCTCACTTCTGAAAAAATTGGCCACTGAAAACCTTATGAATAGTGGTGAAATGCTGTCTAATATATTACTGGAAAACTTTATGAAGAGCCATGAAACATTGTCTGATGTAGTGCCAGAAGATGAGCCCCTAAGGCTGGAAGGCACTCAAAATATGACTGGGATAGAGCTGCCTCCTCAAAGTAGAGTCAACCTTAATGATGTGGATGAAGTAAAGCTTTCAGGACCTTCATTTGCTAATGGGGCAGGACTCGAAATGGGAAGAAACAGCTGCATACATCCATTAATAATCAGAACATGGAATGTACAAAGTATGAAACTAGGAAAATTGGAAGTTGTCAAAAATGAAATGGAACACATAAAGATAGATATCCTAGGCATTAGCGAGCTGAAATGGACTGTTGTTTACTATTTTGAATAAACAGTCATATGGTCTACTATGTTGGGAATAACAAATTGAAGAGGAATGGCATCGCATTCATCATCATGAAGAATGTTTCAAGATCTATCCTGAAGGAGGACTTCTGGCAAGACAGCAGAATAGCCAGATAAGCTACACAGAACTTCTTCAATAAAGAAACGAGAAACCAGTTGAAACAGATACAGAAAATAATCTTGAAACACTGAGCTTTGAAGGGAAAGATAAAGTGGATTAAATACCAACTAATAGAAGAACATGAATGAAAACTGTGAATAAGGAAACAAATGGAGTTGTGGACTATCGCCTGTCCTGGTGACACAGCCAATTTGAATATTTGCAAGCAGCATGGCCATTTTGAATATTTGTGTGGTGGTTAAGTTTGTGTATCAACTTGGCTGAGCCTGGTTGGGTGGCTGGGCAACTGAATGTAGTTATTCCCCATGGTGAGATTAGTAATTAACTCCTTGGTGGAATCTGTTGGAGCAGCTGAGTAGCTGCTTTGGGTATGTGGTCTGCTTCCCATATGTAAGAAACAGCTTTGGGAATGGTCTCTAGCTTATGGCACACTTGAACCCTGTGTGTATCCATGTTATTGTTCAGCAGACTGCCATGCTCTGCTGACCTTGGGACTTGCAATGGACTTGAATTAATGGCCTGCCGTGTGATTTGGTAACATCGGGACCGTGGCTTTTTACTTCTCAACCTTAGGCTTGTCAATCTCAGAAGCCAGGAACTGTCTGTGTAAAGAAAAGCCTCTAGCTTCAGTGGGCTGAGAGCATGACGCAGAGCTGAAGCCCAGGGTTGAGGGGCTTTTAGCCAGCCCCTAGAGCCTGGCACTTTGAACTCAACTTAAGGCCTCTAAACTGTTAGAGAATAAACTCCTGTTTGTTAAGGCCATCCCATTTGTGGTATATTTTTGTCAGAGCAGCACTAGGTAACCAAAACAATTTATAAATGGTGTTCTGACCAGACAGCAACCTAAGAATAGGCTCCATTTGCTGAGGACATCACAGGCAACTGCACTGGAAGCTGATGACTAGAAAGTGGTGATATCCCCCTTGTTCCTCTTATACCCAACACCTTCTTGGTGAATGAAGGTGTGGTCATCCCCCACCTCCACCCTCCTTATGGACTGGCAGGAATTCCATCCTGATCTGTGTGCCCTGACAGAGCCTGGGTGCCCTGCCTTACCCCACCCCAGTTTTGGTTTTGTTTGTTTATTTTTAAATTATTTTTTTTCTTCCTTCTTTATTTCTTTTTGTTTTTTTCT